CTCCTGAATTCCTTTCATCCAGACTCTTCCTAAAAGAAAAGAAACATTTCCTTCCCTACCCCCATGTCCTCTCTCCTATTCCAGCCGCACAAATCAACTCCCGAAACAGCGGGAAGGGCAGAAACGAGGCACAAGTCCCTGCACGCAACAGCTGGGAACAAGGAGACACGTGCATGAAACACAACAGGACTTAAAGTGACTTCTCGTAAGACAACGCGGTCCACAATGGCGTGCAGGCTTCAGGCAAGGGGGGTTTGCAGAGCCCGTGGCCTCCTGTAAAGGGGAGACCGATTTACCGGACGACAGCCCTAGCATGGACACAGCTATGCTTCCTCACCACTTCCACGCTGGGAAGCATCGTACCCATCTAGCTGTGTCCCAGTAGAGTTAAAGCCAGTGCAACTTGTATGTGCAGGCAAGTGTAAATCCAGAGCAGACAAAGGCATCTCCTCCTTCCACGAGCTGAGGTTAGCAAGGAGTACAGCTGCTGTCTGCCTTCTCCTAGCACCCATGAGGGGAGGGGGGGGGGAGAAAACCCTAAAATGGAGACCAAGATTCATCACTATCTCTAGCAAAAGCAAACCAGCCATTTCAGAAACACCCAGTCCCCAGGAAGGCTTCGCCAGGATAAAACCGTAGCACCAAGAGGAGCCTGGAGCAGGCAGGTTGCAGCAGCCTGGGGCAGGGGAGCTGGAAGGCAGCTCGCCCCCATCGATGGGGCTCAGGCACCTCTTCAGCCTCCGCGCTCCTCTTCCTCCCACCCCCAAACCACCGCAGCCGGCGGAGCAGCTCCCTCTCCCCCTGCCCGTCCCGATGGCGCCCGGCGGAAGGGCTCGTCGGGTCGGCGGAGGAGGGAAAGCCCCGCACGGGCTTCCCTTGGGACCTGGAGGACCTCGCTCAGCTGCCCACACCACCTCCGTCTGGGTCACCTCCAGCCATCGAGAGGCCAGCAGCAAGACAGCGACACCTGCGAGCCGGAAAGCGGACAGGGAGAGGGGGGAAAAAAAAGACAAAAAAAAAAAAAAAACCCAACCAAAAAAACTTGCACCCTCGGGCCTGTCCCTCTAATAACTACAGCAAAACCTCACCAAGGCTTTACTCTCCTGGAGGGTGAGAAAGCGACACAGCGCTGCCCAGCACCCGAAGTCCTAGAGGTGGGAGATCCTCACACCCTCTCCTCCATGGCCTACGGGCTTCGTCCCCGGCGTGGGGCCTTTTTTTTCTGCTCTGTCATTAAGAGTGGAGCCTGGTCTTTTCCTTCAATCCCAAGAATTGCACGGAATTAGATCATCTTTCTCGGCTCACCTCCCCCTACAGGCTGCTCCCGAGCATGCTCAGCTCGGCCTGGCGCTGCCATTTCATAACTGCATTGTTTACAGACACACACTGACCTGCCATTTTTTGACAGGAGGAGAGGAGCGGGGCGTTTGCCTCCCGACCGCTCGCGGCCCCCCAGCCCCTCGCAACAAAAATCCGCTTTGGAGAAGGGAAATTGCAAAAGTGGGGAAAGTAGCAGGCTGTGGGTTTGTGGTGGTGGTTTTGTTGTTTTGGGGGGTTTGTTTGTTTTTTCTTTTCCCTCCTTGATTTAGGTCAAGATCCACCTGTTTTGGAAGGAGAAGTTAACCCCTTTGGGGGCTGGGGGGAGTGGGGAGGAGAGGTCTCGCAGAGCTCGATGCAAAATGCCAGCCATGATTTTTAGCTTCTTCAAATCACAACCGTGCTTCGATGTCACTTAAAAATATAATACCCAGCCCGGTTTGCCATCCTCCATCAAGCCTTCCTCTGCGAGAGAAAGGGTTGGAAATATGGTATTTCCCTTGAATAAGTTGGCTTAGTCCCAGCACATACAGTTTTCTCCTTTAAATGCAAACCAGAGTATTTTTGCAGGCACACAGGAAAATGAGGAGAGGAGGAGGGGAAAAGTTCCTCATTTAACACCAAGAGCTCCATGAAAAGCCTTGAAAGGTTGCTCCGAGCCCCGCTCCATTCCAGTCCTCTCCCTGTCCGTGCTGATCATACTTTACAGGTGAAAGCAGCTCTGACTTATGACGGAGAGAAAATGCCAGAAGAGCTGGAGGTTTCCTCATCCTTGGAACAAGGACAAGTTGTGAAAAGCTTCCTTTGCAAGAGGCACTGTGCTGCTCCGACACAGTATGGCAGCGTTGCAGGGAAGATGCTTGCACATCAGATCTTCTTAACCCCCACCGCCTCACCCCTTCTCCACCACGTCTACCAGCCTTCCCCCTCCTGATGGGGACTGCAGGAAAAAGATAAATACATCACCTGGTTTGGGGGAAGCAAGCTGTTATGTTGGATCCCAGAATATTTTTTTTAAAAGGCTTGCTCTACATTTTTTCCCTCTAATTTTTTTTCTTTTTTAAGGATACTTTCCAATTAGCTCGTACAGTGTGCGTGCTTCACTCCTGCTGCTTTCCTGACTACTGTAAATCCTGGCAGGCAGTGCTGCCCGCTGCCCGTCCTCCTCCTCTGCCCCCCTCCAGGACCAACGCCACCGTACAGCAACGCCAAACATTTCCTCCTCCACCCAAGAGACCAAGGAGCTCACATAGGCACGGGGAGGGACAGATCCCACAGGACCAAGGGAAACACGAGGGGACATAAGGGTCTTCTCTGCAAAGAGCGGTTGGTGTCAAAACTCTTCAAATTTACAGGAGTCGAAAAGAACCGGCTGAAAATGGTAGTTAAGGGTTATAAATTCAAGATTCGCTTCCAAATTACTGACATTACATGTCACTGCAGGAACATATGGTCCTCCAAGCCTCGCGAGCAGGGAGCATGCGCTGCCAGAGCCCCGAGCCTTTCGGCTGAACCAAAAGCAAGGTAGCTCTCCCTCTGCAGCAATTCCTCGACCGCTCTCAGCTCCAGGAGCAGGAAGAGGAGAAGGAAAAACTTCAGGGAAAAGCAGCAAAAGGACAACAAAGAGGAGCAGCAGGAATCAAGCCAGCCCTCCCCCAAACCAGCTGGCCAGGAGGGTGAAGCTCCTTAAAATTCCTAGTTTACCTGAATAAGATAGCTCCCTGCCATTGCACGAGATGCAATCCTCTTTCGTTAGGAGATGGCACTGCATGGGAGAGGTCAGGGGAGCCAGGCTCCAGTGCCGGGAGAAGGAGCCCGCAACCACAGCCCGAGCCCCCAGGTCCTGGGCCTGGTCCTGCCCACCCAAACCTCTGCTGCCAGGCCCAGGGTTTGTCTAACAGGGGCTGATCAGCAGAAAATATGCCCCATGTGTGCTGCAGAGCCCAGTTCTGTCCAAACGTGTTCTTGGGAAGAGTTCATGCTGGCACTTAAAAGTCAGTTAAATACATGAAGGGGAAAAAAGCCAAGACCCCAAGGCCCCAGTTTGGGGCTCTTAACCCTTGCTGGAAAGCAGCACGAAGTCCAGACCTCGGGTTTCTCTCTTCCCTCCAAAGTAGGTCAGGCTTTTCAGCGTCTCTCTGCAGACGCTTTCAAAGGGCATCAGCTGGCAGGGACGGAGCATTAGATGTTTTCGGCTGGCTGTCACTCCGGTGTCATCGTGGTCACCACCACACAGGAGCACACACTGCACACCTCAGCATTTTTTTGGTTTCTTGTTTCCTCAGCCTTCATCAACATATTCTCCCCTGGATGGGAGCTGAGCAGCACGTCAAGGCCTCTGCTCTTCACTGCTAAAAAGAAATCTTGTTTCTCTCCTCGTGACTTCTGATGCCTTTTCCTTTAGCACACATCTTCTACATGACGAATAAGGAATGTATTTATAGTCCAGTGGAGACACAACAGATACTTAGATTAGTTATCACAGATCGTCCTGTAAGCTCCCTAATCTTTTAAATGCCATCTTCACATCTCACTCCTTGACTGAAAATTCAATATCGTGTCTGCATGGCAGCTTCAGGGGTTTCCCTCGAGCACAGCAAGCTCCGGCCAGTGTTTTGCCTGCTGGCCGGGGTGCCCGGACCCCCCACAGCTCTGGGACCTTCCGTGTCCGCCCCAAGTCCCACTGAGGTCTGTGGCAGCCAACAGAGCTGTCTGCATGTAACACAAATGACAGCAAAAAAAAACAACCCCAAGAGCATGGCAGGGCTGGATTTTAGGCAACTTTTAAAATAAGCTGCAGACATGGGCCTCCTGCCATGAAATCAACCACGGATGTTTCGTCTTAATCAGCTGCTCCCTTGGATTGCAAGCTACTATTAAAAAATAATTAATTTTTTTTTTTCAGACTACTATTAAAAAATAAATAAAAAAAAAAAAAAAAAGAAGAGAGAGGGGAGGAAGCTACCCCAAAATAAAACCGATTGTTTCTTCCTGGTAAAATCATGTTCGCTCTTGCCTCCACCAGAAGTGAGCTGTAGGCTTGCTTGATGCAAGCAGAGGCTGTCAAAGGAGATCTAACGAGGAGGTGCCATGTGGCCACAGGCCCTCTCCTCCCCTTTGGAAGTTCAGTCTTCGAGCAGCTCGGACACCCCAGGGTTTGCTCTTCTTGCTTGCAAGAGCTGCAAGCAGGGAGGGCTCCTGGGAGAACCATATTTTCCAGAAACTTCACACTTTAAAAAATAAAAAAAAAAGCACACACACAAAAAAAAACAACCACCCAACCCCAAACAAGCCTCCCCACCCCAGAAGACAAATAAAAGACCACCCAGACGCGAGGAAACAAAGCCCAAGCTTTCCCGGAGCCAGGCGACGTCGGATGCAGAAGTACCTGCCAGCCCATGGCACAGCACAAGGCAACAATCACCGCAGCACAGACGGAGCCTGGCCAGCCTCCTCCAGCCGGCTCCCCAGCGCGCCCCGCGTGCCCGCCTGCCCTCCCGCACACGGGGCAGGAAAATAAACCTATATAGAAACAAATAAATAAATAACCCCCAGCCATGATTCCCTGAACTGTCTTCCTCCTCTCTGAGGCTTCTCCTTCCCCAGCGGGAGACAGCCTGCCTGCGGCCAGGGCTGGCGGGGAGCCGCTCTTTGTGAGGCATGGGAGGTGGACCCTGCCGTACCTGCAGACATCTGTTGTCTTCTTCTGGTGAAGACTCAAAGAGTTGCATATTCCAGATCCTCATGAGCAGTGATTCAGTTTCTGCTCATGTGATAAAAGCTCCCTCTACAGAGTGAGCATGCCCAGAGGAGACCATTTCACTGCTCCCTCCAAGCTGCAGCCATTTCACAGAGAACCTGCCGGCTCCAGGGCGTCCATTGGAGCGTGATTATCCCGGGCATCCCGGGGACACACCGGTAATGCAGATCATCTGTCAACTTTCTGACAGGGTGCCAGGCCTCAAAACTGATCGCTCGCCTGAAAAAAAAAAAAGCCTTTTAAACCATAGAGCGAGGTGTTCTGTCTCAGTGGCCTTCAAGAGTAGCCCTTGCCCACAGGAAAAGGAGAGCCAGGAGGGATGGGGAGGGATGCTGCACGGCTTGGGGACGCTCCCGTGCCGATTTTGTTCTGCTTAATGAAGCGCCCGACCTCTGAGCACTGGGATGAAGGCACACGAGTTAAACTGGTTCAGTGTGCAGCGTCCAACTGCAAGTGCATTCGAGATCCGATCTGCTGAGCTGAAGGGGAGCTATTTTTCACTTTGGGGATTAATAAGACAACCTGACCTGGTACAACCAACCTTAAAAGAGTATCACAAACACAGTCATTAAAAAGAGGGGGGGAGAGAAATGGAATGAGGGGCGAAAACCCTAATGAAGTGGTAGTGCACTACTAGGTGCAGGAGCTCTGAGCTCAGCCTATGTCAAACCATATGATACAGCTGGCCCAGCCAGCAAGATAAAAGAAGAAATTTTAGCTTCAAAATAAAAGTAGTTTGTCTCTGTTCCACTCAACAATTAAGCATAAACTCTTGGCAACCTTTGCATCTGCTCAAGCTCCCAGTAAAACTGCCGGAGCAACTCGCAGGAACATCTGTAAGCAGAGATCGGCTGGAAGGGATTCAAGTGCAAGACTGGCATTTATCGGAGGCAGGAGCAGGAGGCTGCTGGAGCTGGGTGTCACGCTGGAGAACCTCCCACCCGAGCAGGGGGAGGGCGGCCGGCAACCCCGGAGAAGAGGCCAGAAGGAAGAGGAAACTCAGAAATGGACTGTGGCACCACCCGCTTGTTCTTGGCCAAAGAAAAAACAGCTTTCAAAAAAAAAATTAGAGCACAGAAGACAGTTCTCTTTAAGAGTAGAAATTAAAATGAAGACGAGCTGAGTGTGATGTGTTACAGTGGGCTGAGGGGGGGGGGGCAGGGAGCAGCCTGCACTGTAGGGAGAAAAAAAGCCATCAAAATCCATAGCAAGGTTTTGAAGAGCCCAAGGATTTTGTTTGCCTTACACCTCGCACCAAAAGCAGGCATGCAAATTCAGGCCTTCAGCACAAGCACGAAGCCATCGCCTGCTCTGCTCTACCCATCCCCTCCTCTCCTCTGCAGAGCATCACAGGAGCGTGTCCTGCCATTGCATTATCGCAGGCTGGATACATCAACAAGCCACGTTTTCTCCAGCCCAAGCAGCTACTTCACCACTGTGTCCTGGCTCATTTGCAAAGCGGCAACAGTTAAAGCAGCAGAAAAGCCTGTCACGGATCTGTCTCGGCTACGAGGACGTTGTTTTTCTCTCCACACTCTGGAGAAGTTTCACTACTAAACAGTTAAAACACACAAGGCTAAATCAAGATGACTGAAATTGGTAGAGAAGGAATATTTGAGGTGACAGTATAAAGCAAGGATCTCTCTTTCACCCACTGGGTTTTTGTTTGATGTAAATTTTAAGTTTTAATATACACAAAATGAGATTTTCCTGGCCTTTCTATCAGTCGCTGAGAGGTGTAGATGTAACTCATTTAAGACAAACTTGAAAATCCCCAAACAAAAGCAACAAAAACCAACTACACAGACAGAAGTTGTATTATCCACCGCATCAAAAGATTACTGTAGTTCAAACCAAAGATGGCTTTAAAACAGTTGACGCGTTGCCCTTCCTTGCAGCATGAAATTACCAAGCTTTCATTAAAAAGACAGGAATAGACACAAAGATGTTAACAAACGCAGTGTCAATGAACTACCACAGTCAACATCCTCTCTCAGAGATAAAATAACGACGGAGAACCATGCCGCAGCCGCAGCCTTCCCGCGCACGCAGAAGGGCAGCACTCCCCACTGCATCTCAACACTAGAAATGTTTTTACTGCCAAGGTTAAATATACACTGAGAGCAGAAGCTACCAGAGACACTTTTCACATCTCACAGTCATCCTTGAAAGCACTAAACACTGGGTTTTTGTTTTTTTTTTTAAAAAAAAAAAAAGCAAAGCTGATCAGGGTATTGCAGATGCTTCAACAACCAACTCGAGCGAAGCCATCGATCGGCATCCTACCAGCATGTCTGCCCAGCACTGCATTCGCAGGGGATGCTTGTGCGTTGATTAATAAGACCTTAAATTTATGCCATCCGAAAGGAGATAGAAGCTTCCAGACCACCACGGCGTTGATCAGCCCGGCACTGCCAGCCCTCTGCCCCGGCAGAGTCCGTCAGCTGTTGGAGCGGTGCCTTCTGCCCTGGGACCCCCAGGACCCCCATCTCCCCGATTTTGCAGAGGTCGGGTGCTGCACAGGCACAGGCTCTTTTTCTGACCAGCTGGTTAGAGACCGATCTCCAGGGTCGAGGAAGCGGTTTTTCTAATCACGTAGGATAAGAACAAACCTATGCCCCATGAAGCTTTCCCCTTTATTTAACCCAAGTTCTCTCCAGCAATTTCCCCACCAAGCCGGTACAAGACAGCATAGCACTCCCCTTTCAAAACATCTTCTACCAGCTATAAAACTACAAGGTATTTTTACACCAAGGCTCTCTGGCCTCCGTTCCCTGATTCAGGGCTCAAATATCCCTTTCATAAATCTCACATTTTCAGGAGGAAGGCAGCAGCACAACAACCTCCCTTCACAAAGGACACCGGGTTCCTCAGGGCTTTTGCTTAATTACACCATTACATACGGCACTTTCACAGCTCCCTTGCAGAGGAAGCGCAAGTGGGAGGCAAGGGGAGATTTTTCTTTCTATAGGAAGAACAATATTTAGCTCTGCAAAATACAGGGGGGTTTCCTTATTTCCATCAGGCCCCTCTCCTTCCAGACCCTCCAGTTGCCCAAATCTGAAGCTCCTTTCAGCCTCCTCAGAAGTGATCCCAAAAGCACGACGAGCTGAAGGGACTTTTGCTATAAGATGAGTATTTCTGCTGGGATCCTGATCTGCTTCTGCACTGCTACGAACCACTCCCCAGCTCCGCCGCAAGCTGTTAAAATGCCTCCTTCCCTCCTCAGCCATTATGTACAGCACTTTCTAACCAGAATGCCCACTCCCAGGACACACTGAGTGTCCTCAGCATCCTCCGAGGGAGCCCGAATGTCCACCTCCAGACTCAGGTAACAGCCTTGAAGGAGCAGGCAGTCATTAATGCACACTTCTGGAATCACAGCTTTCTCCACCTTTCAAAACCTGTTTTTTCTTCCCCAAAGTTTCCAAGCCATCTCCCTTCCTCCCCCTCTTTCCCCAGCAAAGTTGAAAACTGCTTTACTTAATAGGAAACATTAAATGTTCCCTGGGACGCTACATTGAGTACATCACACACACTAAGAAGAAGAAAAAAAAATGAGAAAAAAAAAAAGGGAAAAAAAAAGATGCTGTTGCGACAGATGTTGAGATGTAAGCTCTCTGGGAGATGTTGCTATGTTTTGATAAGAATATGCGTTGAGTATTTCATTTACAGGGCAATCCTAGAACTTTATTTAGAAGCATATTGGCCAGACAGCTGTAATTTAGAACATACTGTATTCCTAACAGCTCCCAATTATAAACTCCTTCAGCTTTAACTTATAGTAACCACGGCTCCTTCTATTTCAGAAATCTAAAAACACCATTTCTCCCCTTCATTCAGCTATTGCATATCAAGAGCTTCTACCGTACAAACACAGCCTTGCTCGAGAAGGGTCCTAAATACAGCGTCCCCTGCACGTCCCATCTCAGTAACAGTGAGCAAGCTCGTTGCTTTAACCACACTCACCGTTTGCTCCACAGACAATCGTTTTATTGTTTTATTTGGGGGACAGTAGATGGGGTGGGAGTCAGACCCATGTCAGTGCAAAGCCATCTTGCTTATTAGTAGTCTTCTGCCAGCAAAGCCGGCTGTGAAAATGGCTGCTTCACATTCAATCTCGCTTCTGCTGCAACACTTTGCTGTAATGCTGGAGCTCGAGTGTAGACCCTGCCGATGAGCCTCACGTGTTCAACATGTCCCTGTTCTTTGACCTGACGCCTATTTTTTTTAAGGATTAGGGCATTCACGTGAAAATAAGCAAGTTCTTCACTGGAGGAGAATCAGTGCTTCATGACGCTTTTGTATCTCTCCCCAAATCATGAACTCGCCTATGAAATATCACAGTTGATGGCTCTACAAGCAATTCCACTGACATAAATTTCTGCAAGGAACAGAAGGAGCAGATGAACTCTTTAAAAACAAAGCTCCTGCCTTCATGCAAATATCACTAGTTAAGAAGAGCAGAGAAATAAAGCAAGCATGATGTGTATACAGAATTGGCTCTGAAGAGGCTGCTTTTCAGCAACTGCCATAAGGTGGCAGTGGGTCTTTAAGGCTACCTTACACCTTTCACACAAGCACAATACGAAATTATCACACGAGTGGTTTTCCAGCATCTGAAACTGTTTAAGTCAAATTTCCTCATCAAGGGAGCCAGACCATACATGAAAACTTGGGGCTGAGATCACCTCAATGCCAGAGTCGCACAAGGAGAAAAAGCCACCACGATCAATTCTGAAAAGCCATAAACGCAGCCCCCATCTGAGCCAAAGAAAATCAAAACCTTTTCCTTTCAGTGTACAAGCACAATGCCGTTTATTTTACATAAACGCTTTTCTGTGTGCATTCATCAAACCATAAACAAGCCAGCGTTCATTAAAGAGTAAGAGAAGTTCTGCATGGCCAGCAAGCTGGAGCTCCAGCAGACTTTTATGCAGGGACGTAAAAGCAACACCAGGAAGCAAGCTGGTCACCAACTTAGTGCAGGGCTGACGTATCAAG